ACGATGAATTGCTCCAAGAAATGAAGGATACAAAGTTTGTGATTAAAAGAAGACTTGTGATTTTAATGAAGGGAGATATGGTTATGGTATACATCAAACCTGGAAGTTCTCCTAAGGGCGTCTACAAGAAACTTCATTCCGAAAACTTTGATCCTTACAAAATTCTCAAAAAGATTAGTTCAAATGCTTATGTTATTGATTTCCCAAAATATATGAGTATAAGTAAGATCTTCAATGTTCTACTTCCTTCATACAAAGGAGGTGACCCTACAGTTTCTCATAATAGCATTCCTTTTAGCTTTCCAGACACAAAATATCAAGGATGAGGTTGAAGAAATTGTTAATTATCAAGAGGTAGCAACTAGCAATGGTACCTATCACAAGTTTCTAGTAAAATGGAAAGGACGTCCTCAAATTGATTGAACTTGGATCACAGAAGCTCACCTCAAGATGTTAAACCCTGTCACACAAACCACATTCCATGATTTCAACTCGACGGAGCCAAGTTTCCCCTCCCCCCCAAGGGAGAATCAGTGGCACATAGCAATGACAAGATGTTATTTATTTTTAAAGTATTTTCAATTTATTATTTAAGATTCTTATTAGAGTTAGAAATTTATTTTTTATTAGTTTTTTGAGAAAAATATTTTTTGAGATAAAGATTTTATTTTTTATTAATATTATTTTCTCTTTGTATTAGGATTAGTATTTCTAATATTATTAGTATTAATTTCTTATTCTTACTAGGGTTAGCATTCCTAATTTTATTAATTTCTATTTTCTAATTTAATTCTAGTTAGGAAAAAATTATTATAAATAACTCCACTTATTGATCATTCAAATATTCAATGATATTTTTTTAGAATTTCTCATAATTGATTGAGTGATTCAATCAACCTTTAGGTATGATGCCTAAGAACCCTAGTTGTGATATCTAGACTTTTTTTCCCCTCCTAATTTCTTAGTAGGCAAATTAATCCTAATTTCTCCTGCATGAAGAGGTTTCGCAGACTTGATCAAGAATTGCTCTCTCTCTCAAATATAGTTTCTTTTATCCCTTTCCTTCTTTCACTTTTCATCAGACAAAAAGAAGCTAACACCACAAACAAAAGGCAAAAGCTACATATGAAATGCAAGTAGATGGCTATTCATGAGTACCATCATGCATGATATGCACAAACCTAAAACCAACTAACAGGGATATTCATGAATAGATCATAAACACATGAAATATGAAATCCCTAGTAATAAGGTAAAGCAAGAGATAATAGTTTAAAGCTCATCAAATTTTTAAAGCAAAAAGGAAAAAAGGAAAAGCTTGCCTCCTCCTTCTTTGGATTGAATTTGCATCCTTATAAGCTCTCTCACGAAAGGCACTAGCTAAATCTTCGTCGCCACCCTTCATTAGTCCAGCTAGAACAGCAGCAGCATGCTCCCTCACCTAATCAAAGAAATGAACAATGAGCCAGCAGTATCAAAATCCTAAGCTTGGTACAGAGATTCTAGTCTATAACACTAACAGCTAATAATCCTCAAGAATCTTGAACATAATTCATATAAGAATAACCCTAAAACCATGAATATCATACCCTTGATGCGGCACCTGCTTGGTGCTTGTGAATGAGTTTGTCTTTTTATTTTTTACAAAAAATGAGAACGCACTTTTTACAAAAGTAAGAATCACTATCAACTAAAGACAACCAGGAACTTGCCTCCACTTGACTGTCAACAAGTAGCTTTTCTACAGTTCTCCAGATCTTTTGCTTCTCCCCACTTGAGAGAATGAAAGTATGCCTGTTAGAAGAAGATAATAAAACCTTTATTATCAATTTATCATTTGCACCACATACATGATTTTCTGTATTTAGATGTTTGAATATAACTCAATTATTTATATACTCAGTAAGGGAGACAACATAAAACCATAAAGGTGTACAAAGATAACTGGGATAACTAGGAGAGAGGAGATTTATTATTTCAAAAAAAAGAGAGAGGAGATTTATGAATAAAGGACAAGCGTCTTGATTCTTCCATAAAGTGACACTTTAATAAGTACAGATTTTCTTTTAAATAATAGCAAATATTTATTCAAGGTCATCAACGAACCAGGAAACACATAGGTTGCCTGATGCAATTAAAGTCAAATTCATAAGTCTCTTAAAGGAGCACTATACCTAAACATAAAAGTTGGGAGATATGTTAGAGTTGCAGATCTTGTCCGCCAGTTTGAGTCATTTGCAGAAGAAAGAATAACTGAAACAGCTTTCTGGAGATGGGGCTCACGGAAAACCCTCCATTTTAGCAATTCGAAAGCTACTTTGGCCAATGTGGATAAATCTTTATTTGATGTTTCCTTCAAAAGTCCAGTAATATCTCTCAGATACAAAATGATGATGATCAATGTACTTGAAAATTTAATTTCAATAACAAATAATATTTGTAAAGCATGATATACCAGCTCCTCCAAAGAATATAAACATGTACTCTGAGAATCAATAAAATTTTGAAATAGTTGTTTTATTGAACTTGGATATTAGCATTTTGCTGTGTTGCCATGTCCCATGTCTAACTAGAGCTTTTAGAACCCAAGTTTAATCATTTCTCTTTTTCAAAGATTAAACAAGATGTAGAGAAAGTCCATTTGAGGGGAGCTCTGATCCCCAGTCCTTTTATAAAGCTCAGGGGCAAAAATAGATCATGAGCAGACTGTTCAGTTAGTAGGTTTTTTCACAGCTTAATGGAATATCTATCTCATTGTTAAAAGGACACTCAAAGCTTGATTAACTGAGTCCTGAAGGTCAAACAATCATGCAATGTTGTAACCAGAATAATAGTGGTTCAAAATTTTCCTTTTCCATTTTAACATGATTTCTGAAATCATATCTCCTGATCATAATCATGTAGCCCTAATTAACTGTCCAGGATTAAACCAACAGAGATTTCGAAGAAGGGAAAAATTATAATAACATAAATGGATGGCAAAAAGGGAAAAAAACCTGAGACCATTGGAATCTACACCACATACCTGCAAGGAAATTATTGGGTGGAGAAGGCTCACAATTACGTCAAGCATATATGAAGATCTTCCAGACTTCAAAGTTGAGACGATAAAATGAAATAACTATAGATATTACCAAACATGAGCAGATTAGTAAGACCATTTTAGGTCGAAGGAAATATATATATTCAATTCCATTGTAAATAACTCAAAAAATTAGTACCGTTTCCATCCATTTGACATCATCTTGTGAGTCAGCATGATTTACATTAAGATGACCATTTTGAGTATTTACATCAGTGGAGGCCTCCAGACTATCAGACATGCCAGTTTTCTGAATGTTTGCGACTGCTTCAGATGCTCTTTCTGTAACCAACTGGACCCAGCTTTCCTCCTTAAGGTGGTGACTAATATCAGATTTCATGTCAGGATTATCTTGAGAAAACGACATATAAAGCCGAATGTTTGAGCATAACACTGAAAGGGTAACACCTATAGCTTCCCGGACCTATTTACAAATGAAATGTGCATCAGAATACACAAAAGGAAAGAAAACACGCAGTCCATGTGTAGCAGAAATATTAATTACATAATGACTCCATTTTCCAAACAAGAAATAACAGAAGATATTAATTATTGTTCTCTTGTACAAGTGAAACTGCAGAACCAGAGATTTATAATAACACACCGATAAGAAAATGATTCCCCGAATAAAAACATGAACCTCTAAATAAAACTCCCCCCTAAAAACAGTGATTTTGCATGATGAAGAAAAAAAGGGCAATTATTTTTTTAACATGTTCATGCCATCAGTATCCGATTTCAGAATGTGTTATAAAGACTACCCGATTATCAATTCTGCAAGGCTGTTAAATAGTCTTATTTCCATATTCTCTCAACCTTTTGTACCTTTTGTTATGAGGCAGAAGGAAGAGACTCGAATAAAGTACAAAACATGCCCACACTCAAAAAAAGAAACATGACATAACCAAAAACTGGTGAAATATATGAAGAGAAGGTATACTTACTTGCGCAGATGAATGGCGCATACTACCCAGCAGCTCATTCAGAAGATTATCATGTAACTGTACTTCAGATATTGGCATCTTCTGTGGGGATAATTCTATTAATGCAGCAGAAAGAAATGCATAACGCTTAGCAACTACAGATGTTGATACAGTCGGAGGTAAAGGAG